TTTTTTTAAAGAGATTTATAATGGATTCGATGCAACATCCCCGTTTGGTACGACCACCACAACCTGTGTCCCGCAAGAGAATGTATCGGTTAGCTGCCAAAATGGTAGTGCATGTGTTGACGCTCAACAAATGGACATCTATAGGTACTCGTGTTCTCAAAGATTCTATAGAATTTACGGTACAGTTACAGTTTCAGAGAACTTATCCTAAGACATCTAATACAGGATATCAGTACCACCTGTGCCAAATTAGGCTTGCCAACAGGTTAGTTTAGCTTAAGACTTTTTATGAGTATGTGAATGAATAAATGAATGAGTTTAAGAATGAATAAGAATCTGAGTGAATGAGTGAACAAATGAATGAATTACTACGAATAAATGAGTGAAGGCATGAATGATTGAACGGTTGGATGGATGGATGAGCGAATGAAAGAAGGAATGAATGAAAGTGGATGAGTAAATGAATGAATGAATGCATGAATGAATGAATGAATGAATGGATGAGTGGATGAACGAATGAATGAATGAATGAATGAATGAATGAACGAATGAATGAATGAACGAATGGATTAAGTGAAATTAATGATTGAATAAATGCAGGGTGAATGAATGAGTGAGTGAATGAGTAAATGAATGAATAAACGAAGGAATAGATAAATGAAAAGTACGTAAGTATGGAAGATAAAATAAATAGATATCCATAGTCAAACATTTTGAACAATTTTCACTACTCTATGCTCGCAGCTAATTTTTTCGAAAGAATAAAAATCGTTTCTTCTTCTTTTTGAAATGTCATTTTAACCCTAGAAAAACCTAGTACACAGAACTCTAGTTAAATGTAGAGACTGAAGATTAAAAAATTGGATGCCTGATTTGATGTTTATACATTCTTCTGTTCATTTGTTTACTTGTTTTCGATTGATTGAACATAGTGTGTCGACATGAGTTCTTGAAAAACATCGAAATGTGTGTTGATTATGAGCTTAATGGCAGTTTGTTTGCTGTTGCGTCGATAGGCGGAAGTGAATGAGGGAGCCACTGGTCAAACAGACGCGCAGTGGCCGCTTCTAATGACAAAGGAAAAAAATAAACAGGAATAGGGGAAAATAGCAATAGGAGAAAATATTTTTTTTGAGAACTAATAATTATTTACGATTTTAGAACAGAAAAAAACTTTTTTTTGTAGATGCCCAAAATTGGACCCAAGAACATGGTTCACGTTGGATTTCCGAAATGTGCCAGCAGTTTAGCCTAACACCACCGAGGCACACCTATTTGAGCGGACGTGCACTGCTGAATATGACACAGAAGGACTTTGTTGCTTTGGCACCGGAAGGCGGTGACACGCTCTATGCTCAACTACAGTTATGGAAAACCGGTTAGAATATTCATTTCGTGCCATCTTTATAGAAATTTTTGCATACTTATCAGTAATATTGCCAGCATTGATGGCAAAGATATCGCCAAGTAGATCAAGCGGAGAATAAAGTCTCGATTTAGTCTTATGGTCATTTTTCAAGGTTTCAGAAGATACTTTGCCCATTGCTCTTTTCAAAGCTTTAGAAAAAGTTCTTTAGAAAAATCCCATCGAGAAGAACGAGGTGTACTGTCCCGTTTCGGCATTTAATTGTGATAAGTGGAGATGAACCTCTTGGAAAATCACTCTTATAAGATCGGCCTAATTTTGTGCAATTATACATTGTAAATTACTTTGTGCTGCAGACGATAAAACGTTTACATTGCGCACGCTGCCGCAACGCAACCGCAGCGCAGCCGCTATAGTGCCGCACCGCGATCATCTATGCTTCAGAAAAAATAGAGCACAGATAAATCTACAAAAACCCAAACTTAAAGAAAAACGCACCACCTAAAATTAACCAGCCATCGGTTCTATTACCCATCTTGAGTACAAGAAAGCAAAATTCGATAAACTTCTCATTATTCAGCCTTTGAATCCTATCATCAACAGCAGAGTGGTGGACAGAGCAGCGGCGGTATGACCGCTGCTGACAATTCAATGCCAAAGAACAATTGGGTAACTACAGCGAATCAGCTCCAATCGAAATCGATATATTGATTTTTTCATGAATGTGTTTAAGATGGCCCCTGGCCAAACAATGATAGCAAATGATCAAATGAAGGGTGCTGCGGTTTTTGGACAACAGTATCCGGTCAACGATATACAACAACAGCAATATTTCGGTAATGGTAAGTAAGACCGTAAAAGACAAACGTTTTCTTCGTTCTCATGGTACTTTCTTTCGAATATAAGAAGTTTTCCTTTCAGGAACAATCGCTACCGGTACGCAAGATGGACATGCTTTTTTTGGAAATGGTGTATTACCGTCGCCGAGTGATAGTGACAGAAGCAGTAATGCAAGCATGCACGACAGTCAGTCTACTTATATTAAATTCATTTATTCGATATGTATTCGTTGATCTATTTAGTCATTCACTCATTTGTTCATAATTCATATATTCATGCATCAATTTCTCAAGTAATTATCAAATTCATCTGATCTTACACTCATTTATATAACTAGTTACGTTCATTCATTCATTCGCTCGATTACACTTATTCAGTCACCCATGTAATCGATATATCGATTTTTCAGTGGGTGATGAAGATTGCGTGGACCTTCAAAGTATGCTACAAATGCAACAGGATAATATGCGATTCTGCGGACAAATGAATGGCATGAAGTTAGTTTTCGATTTTCCGGTCATCATCAAATTAATTTCCAGAATATTATACACACTTTCAGCATGAACACCGCACAAACCCCGCCAAGCGAAGAACAACGTCCCTCACCCTTTCCACGACATTCCGGCACCGTACATTTATGGCATTTCATCCGAGAATTGTTGGATCATCCTAATAAACAATATGGATCGTGTGTTCGTTGGGTGGATCGCGACGAGGGTATGCAGTTATGAACAAGTTTCCGTGTTTGCTCAATAGTTTCAGCAATTCAATCAATTTTCCATCAATACACTGTTAAGGAACGTTTAAAATTGAGTCTTCTCATCATTTGGCGAGATTCTGGGGTCAACGAAAGAATCGTGCTCAGATGAATTACGATAAATTGTCACGAAGCCTCCGACAATATTACAAAAAAGGTAGTGTCTGATCTATAACAATAAATATTTGGAGAATAGCGACTATTTATTAGGAGCGTAGTTATCTGACCAATTGAATCCATTGATTGTGTATGCTGCATGCGGTAATTTGCGACTGCAACAATAATTTATCGAAGGACATTTAAGCATACCAAAAACTATTCATTTATATCTTACATAATGTTTTAGAATGATTATTTTGCAATAGCGCTTGAACGAACGCTACGCAACCGTAGCCAAGTTTACAAGAACCTAAGGAATGAAAACACCTTTACTAAAAATGAAAATATCAAAGGACATCTTTACGATGATGCTTCAAATGAACGCATGCGTATTGTTG